CGCCAATTTTAGAAATTGAAAGCCAATGAATGAACTCAAATTATTTAGTGAAATGCAATTAGAGCATCCCATAGAGCATGAAGCATAGCATAGAGCATGCATTTCTTCTGATCGTTCTGTTGTACTGTAACAACCTGAGCATGCTTGTCCAGGGAGCTGTAGTATGACCAGTCGGATACTGGACATGAAAGGGTGTGCTAAATTCAGTGCTTCGTGTGAATCAAACTCAGGACCTTCCGCTCCCAGAGTCTGAAGCTGTACCCCTGAGCCATAAAGGCTAGCCATTACAGCTGAGACTGTAGTAGCAACTTGTAACGAGAGTCATTGCAGAGTAAATGAATATGCCTAAGTTGTAAGTTCATTTCTCTCTTGGACATTTGAGCGATGTATAGAGGATTCACCATTGGTCCTAATCCTAATAGTATGAATCCCAATGATCCGAATCCCAATCGTCTGAATCCCTTTCGTCCACAAATTTACAATCGTCGATATGATATTATCTGAGGGACCACAGGGAAATAACATTATAATTGCTTATATAATATCCTACATACTTTATACAGGCCTGTCGAACCGTCCCGCAATTTGCGTATTTGTCACGCATTTGCTGAAGAATTTGAAGTCACGCCAGTTATTTTTGCGTGACAGAAAATGTCACGCAAATACGCATTTTACCTGGTAATTGTCAAGCAAAAATATTTCTGTAGAAAAATTTCTAAAAAAGCTCGTCTACACAGCAAAAATATGAACGCCGAAAAAAAAACGTACGCATTTCGTTCGGACTTTTCACGCGGATCACGTATATGTCACGCATTCCATTAGAAATTTTTTGTATTGGACCAAGGTGTCCACATTTCCAAGTCACTCATGTTAGGTGTTCCCAAGTTGACAGGCCTGTTTATATATACCTTGAGACCAACTTATGGGTATAGTAAAAATTAACAGAACAAACCCTTTCAAATGACATGAGCATTGGCAAACTCGGTATGGGCCTTGAGCCAGGCAGGCAATCAAGTTCAAAGCTGGTTTTTAATTTCTTTTAGAATAACCAGAACTGCCATTTACGGAGTTGCTGTGGTCACATAACCATACTGATAAACAAAACAAGACAAAACCGAGAGTGCATTGCAGCTTGTTAAAACCGGTCTGCCATTCATCACATAAACCAAGTTGCTCTGGGCCTTTTATTAATAATTTTAAATCCATGGCAACCAACATGGTTATTCATTTTTGACATTCTTCAAATTATCACATAGCTAAGATAATGCTATATGGAGAGAAATTATTTGACATTCTTGAGAATATACATGCAGTATGTAGTTTAAATAATGCTAAATGAAGAGAAATATAACTTCTTGGCCCAAAATAGTAAGACTCATTTTCAAGGTTAATCCAAGGGCGTTACAATACCCGGGAATTTATCGGTACGTGCAGTACTTGTTTGTGATAGCGCCATCTGCAGGTCACTGTGGTTATAGCCTACATAATACGGGGTAGGATATCGGGAATTCGGTGCAGTTTCTATCCGTCGATTACGCTATGAATTGAAGCAAGTGTGACCACTTTATCCACTTAAACAATTTGATAATTGATTAAATCGTTAAACAAAATGGATAAACACGTCATACACTTCCCATCAAATTAGCATGTATTTATCGGATTGTGTTTTCGGACGATGCTCGACCCATACCACTAGGGAAATCCTTATGCTAATTAGTATGACGTCATATTTTCCTGGGGAATCCTAGATTTCAAAGCCTCGGTCTTTTATTGTGTCAAATGTAAACATTCTTTTGCAGACAGAAAATTGACAGATTAGCTTTTAACTTTCAGCTTTCATGTTTAAATATTCTTTATTTCTACCGGACTTCTTGCTGAATATCATATAATGTTATAACTTGATTTGGATTTTGGACGATTGTCTGATTGATCCTTTCTGAAATTTTGATTGTGATTCACGATTGATTGGCAAGAAAAATAATTCCTATTGTTTTCCAGCGAAGTCACTAAATGTTACAGCATAAATTATAATAAGTGGGAAGTAGAATAAAGGATGGGCGGGGCCAGGGGATTGGTGGCCCTACCAGCCCCACCAATTCACACGCATACACATAAGAGACAAACACACCCAGGCCGTGATGGAAATATAAAACTATTTAGGGCACAAAATGGTATTTAATAGACCGATATGTAGTGAATCTGCCATATATTGAAGGTAAAACAATCTGCATTATTGTTACTTCTATCAATACATGGATTGTGCAATGGAAAAGCAATGGCACAATCAAAAATGTGCATATCAATCGTGAATATCTCTCGGTTCAAAGCTTAATTCCAACAGAATCGTGTCAAAATATGTGTCTGAATAACAGTTATACATTATAAGATCGCAAATTCTTACAAATTATCAGCCGAATGGCTAATTTTCAACGAAATGTCCTTAAGACAACAGCCCTGGGTCGCGCCTATGACGAAAATAAGCTTGAATATCCCTCCCCTAATAATATTGATAATCACATTTATGCATGTGCGCGCAGCTCATCCACTGAACGAAACGCCACGCTGAAATCACCGGGTATTGATCTTTCCCTTGGTTAATCATACCAGGGCAGAGCAATCTCATATGGTAAATGTACCACTGTTGCATTCAATAGAATGTGCCTGTCACCTATATAACAATGTAAAGTGCTATATTTCATAAGAAAGTTTGCACACTGAGGACTGATTTTTAAAGTCAAGGTCCCTTCTTATGTGGTAAGAGACCTTCATCTCACGTGGGTTTGAATGTTTCAACAACCATATTTTATAAGAATGAAATTTGTAATACACATGCTGTGTTGCATAATTTTTCTGCATGAACTTTTGTAATATCTGCAGCATGCCAGTGAAACACGAGGTTGCCCGAGGTGAAATATATTTATTCGTGAAACCAGATATTTGTGATATTTCATATTCTCATTTCCTAAGCAGGCTTAGAGGGGGAAATACCCTAGAATCCACAGATGAACCTCTGAGGTTCTGGCAAATTTGTTCATGTGCTGTTTGCATAATTTTACAAGATATGTTTAATTACAGACGTAGCCGGGGTAATTATTTCAGAATCATGCAGTTTTTCACCATTTTGAGCACTTCTCGAGTGATTTTAGCCATATTTTGGCCAAAATTGTCAAATGTGAACCCCCCCTGGAAATTTTTGAAAACTGAACCCCCCTTGTCAAATCCTGGCTACGGGCCTGGTCACTTAAGAAGAGTGATTTTGTAAACATATTTTTCTGTGTTGTCTGATATGACAAAGCTAGTTCAAGAGAGTGACTTTATGTGACTGGCTTTGCCTTGACATGTCTTGTACACACTGTCTGAGTCTAGATTATAATTTATATTTCATTCCAATGTTTATTTCATAACGACTGCTGGAATCTAAAGAATCATGACTGTTTCCATGATATTTTCATACTTATGACATTCTAGGACTTAATCATCTTTTAACATATTAGGTATACATGCAGTTTACATCAGTCATGTTTTCCGATTCACCATTTTCAATAGTTGATGGTTATTACTACTAGACTGGGCTTCAGGTTATATTGAAGATTTGATGGATCGATGTTTGTTGTTATTTTTTCTCGACTATTATTCAAAAGATACTTGGACTAATTGCTTACATATTACGCTTATACTGGATTACTGGTGCCAGGGAGGGATTCGCAGGGTTTGGGCGAACCCCCCGCCCTCCCCTGTCCAAAAATTCTTTCAAAATCATGCAATTTTTCACCATTTTGAGCACTTCTCCAGGCCTGTCAACTTGGGAACACCTAACATGAGTGACTTGGAAATGTTGAACACCTCCCCTCAAAATGTGGACACCTTGGTCCAAATCTGAACACCTTGATCCAAATTTTGAACACCTTGGTTTAAATTTCATTACATCTTGCCAAATTTTGAACACCTCAAATTTTTCGCGTGACATATTCGTAATTCGCGTGAAAAGTCCGAACGAAATGCGTACATTTTTTTCCGGCGTTCGTATTTTTGCTGTGTAGACGATCTTTTTTAGAAATTTTTCTACAGAAATATTTTTGCTTGACAATTACCAGGTAAAATGCGTATTTGCGTGACATTTTCTGTCACGCAAAAATAACTGGCGTGACTTCAAATTCTTCAGCAAATGCGTGACAAATACGCAAATTGCGGGACAGTTGACAGGCCTGCTTCTCAAGTGATTTTAGCCATATTTTGGCCAAAGTTGTCAAATGTGAACCCCCCCTGGAAATTTTTGAAAACTGAACCCCCCTTTGGCAAATCCTGGCTACGGGCCTGGGTGCTGATATTTAATCACTCATTTAAAATCTTGCTTTTTTACTTGATATTGTTCTGAAACAACTCACTGAATCCTTGTGGAGGATGTATGGCTTACAGTGCAATGGGCCTGATATTGATATGGTTTAAGATTTTAGTTTGTGTTCTCAAATGTTGCCTCTTGTGTTGTTTTATCATAAGATTGTGTTATTTTTAATTAGGGGTATAATGCACTGTCATTTGTTTGATCTTACGTCTATGCAATGATTGAATGTTTGACTCAGGGCATCTACAGTCTCAGACATGTGATTATGTATAGTCACAATAAGAACTTCTTAATCATAAATAGTGCTCAAGTGGAAAAGCTTAAAAATCATTGTCTGAGTTTAATCAAATAGTTTATAATATCTTACATGTCTTAATAAGCCAATTATTAATCATAATTATTTGAAATCAAAATATTATTGAATTGGCTTCTTTGAGTGTCTATGATATGTGAAGCCAAACATGATTGAATATATTGACTTTCCTGTGCCATATAGTGCAATCAGATAGATGGCAGGCTAATCAGTAAAGCACTCACACAAAGAAGTCACATGGTGAGGGCAATATAAGTACACGGCGATCAGCTGGTATGATCAGAACTAACAAAGCAAGTGAACAGTATACAACGTGTTTGGATTAATAAGAATAACTACGACATTATGTATAGGAAACTTAACATTATGAGAATGAACTCAATGGATTCTATGGGATCAGCATGTTCTACATGTTCCCCATGTATAGACACGGAATCGCAAAATGTTTTTGATATGGATTTTACAAAAATTAACAGGTAAAGGTCTTTGTGTTTCAAGGGAGTGGGCCAACTGGGGCAAGCCTATACAAGATGAATATCAGGATATTCTTTGTCTGCATCAATTTTATGATTATTTTCTTGTATTTAAGATTATTCAACTGAAATTTAATGATGTTTTGGGAATATTTCTTGATACATATGGTGTTCAAAATTTACATGCAGACATTTAAAAATGGCCTTTAATTTTTTTAGAGACACAATGGACATTGGAGCTTCCCTGAAAGAAACTCTAAAATCTGCTCACGAGACTGGGCGAACAACTTGTGGAGTGTATGAATGTGCTCAAGTTTTGGAAACGTAAGCATTGCATATTTTTCTATTTCTGTTTGGTATTATTTATGGGTTTGGAAACTTGTTACTGATTGCACAACAGATTATCTTGGTAATTAAATGCAGACTGCTAGAGCAGAATGTTAAATCCAACACAAATATATAACACACATGCCTACTTATATGCAGTATTAATTTATTAATGCAACATTTATATTGCATCTGGAATATTTAGTCTAATCATGGTATTCCTTTGTTACAGAAACCCAGACAATATCATGATGTGCCTTTTACCATCAAGCAGTGACGACGATGATGTCACAATGCACATACATTTTACGCTCATAGAAGCATTCTGCTGGGAAAATGACATTCGATTAATGAGGGTAAGTTTCCAATTAAATTTTAACGTGCTGAACGTGATTATTATTTCACTTGGATTATCGATGATTATCTTGTCATTACCAGCCTACAAGTTGAACTTGGCGATGTTATTCTGTTCCATTTATTGGCTCATAAAGAGAAAACATTTTAAGTCCCACGCTTAATCACGATCATTCTTGTTATTGTTTATTTAATGTTTTCATGGAATGTACCTGATAATACTCAATGTTTTTATGACCATATGGTTTTAAGCCTTTTTGATAAGAATAGTTACGTATATGATTTCTTATGAAATCTAGGGCATATAATATCTATATATGTCTGGTACATGTGAGTTGGTTATGAAATTTAAATCATGGTTAAATATTAATCTAAAACTGTTAAGATATCTATTTGTCCTTTAAGTAGAATTTTGGGGTCAGGTTAAGAATTGGTTTAGTGTGCTGAAAATTGGCAGATGTGCAGAACTAAAATGGTGAGTTAAGGGTTCAATCCAATATCCAGGGTTTATTGAGGTCTTTGTTTAAGGTCATGAATACATGTTACTGGGCCAGGTTCAGTAGTGTGGAGAATGAAACCTGTGTTAAGTAGATCAATAAAAAGGAAATCTAGTGCTGGCATTGCACTTAAGTGCAGCTGGCCCTGGTATAAGCATGGAGCGATAAACCAGGATACAATCAGGTTAACAAAGAAAAACGAGAACTCAGTTAAGGACTCTGTTAAGGTCATTGATTGGACAAAGAGGTCAGGTGGTCAGTGTTCGTGCCCTGATATATATATGTCATTATAAGGTTAATATCTTATCCTAGCCATTCAGGAATAAGGGTATCCAAGTAGGCCATCTGTCTTGAGACAACAAAGGGTCACAAGTTTTGGGGTTGTCTGCTATGCAAATAGGCCTGGACCACCAGGTGTAAGTGTCTGGACCAAACAAAAGGCATTCCTATAGAGAGTTTAACAAAGATAATTGCAGTCACACTTCTTTAAAAGTAGCCCTTTAAATGGCAGATGTTTCCTTTTTGATCAGCTGCTACATAATGAGATCTGCCTCATTTACTCAGTGTGTGTTTCATAACATACATGTTCATAAGTAGCCTTATCACTATCAGGACCTTTATGTTAATGTGGCATGCTTTTGGTGAATGTAATATAGAAATTATTGTAATGGATAATTATTAAGTTCTGCTCGGACTAATATTGAGAACACCAGGAGGTCAGTGGTGTATCTAGGGGTCTTAAATAATAGGGGTTGACTGTACACTAGAAAGTAATTAGTTCACTCTTTGGGTTTATACCAAATAGGATTAGTAAAGACAATAGGAAGTGAAATCGTAATTTAGAAGTTCAAACTCAAGCTAGTATTAAATAGCACTATACAGTACAGTGATAATAAACCTGAATGATTTATCACGACTTGTTATTAATTCTATTGTATTTTTTATGAATGTACGTCAGCAGTTGTATATTAACGTGACATGTTAGGATGGGATGGGATGTGCCACTTAAACTAATCCCAGTGCAAGCAATACTGCCTGTTGTAATAGCACTGAAAGCCTTTTGAAGTGATCTTTACTAGCAATAATGACGTAAAACAACAGTAAACTACCCAGTTATATTATCTTTTCACAAAGTGATATATCCATATCTCAAGATAAAGGATATACGTAGTTAACATTCATGATGACCTCATTGGTAGTACCAATAGTTTTAAGATCATAAAAAACGTGAAATCTGAACTCAAAAAAAGTTCATATTTTGTACTTTGCTTGCAGTAAAACCTAGTATAAATCATAATAGAATACTATAAAGTCACATTGCCAGCATATTAAAAACTAATGTGGGTAACGAGTGAAGCGTGATGTGTAGGCAGGCCTCGTTATAAGGTTATTGCGTTCTTTGAAGGTTATTTCGTGGAACTTGGTTACTGAATTAAACCTACTCATATACATACTGCTATACACCCCTTCGATCTGCAGTTGGTGAATCATATTTACCCAGAGAGATACACTGTTTATTTCTCCGATCTTGGCAAAGTAAATGTTTTTCAGGGAATTCGTGATTAGATTCCCGCCTACAAGAATTAACTGGGTCTTTTCCACAGATAAGATAGATACCTTTAATTACCTTATTATTCAGTCAGCTATGACACTTGAAGAAAGTTAGATGGGTCAGTCAGTATAAGTTGCTAATTAAATATCCAGGAACTACTTATGAGGGTGAATCAGTTGATGAATCTGATGCACTGAATGATTATACCTTAAGGTCAATTTTGTTTTACTCACTGGTCTCATTGTAAATAAAAAGTCCAACCAGGATTTCAAGTTCAATTTAGAGTGTTATAGTAATCCATACAACAGTTAAATTCTACAGGGTCAGTCAGTGTAAGAGTGTGCAAGGAAATTGTTTATTGATCCTCAAATGATAATATATAGCAGTGTACTGTACCAGGATGACGGTGAATTCACCTAGGGGGGATAGAGAGTTTAAAGTATTTAGTTATAGTGATGTAAGATGTTTTGATTGTATTAATTTAAAGTCAGGAACAAAGGGATTATATCTAGGCAATGTAGGATATATAGAAATGCCCCCTTCAGTGAATACTAATTATACTGTCTAGGATAACTTCACATGGGTTCTTGGGGTATTTTGATAAGTATTATAAATAAAGTTCTGCAGGGCATGATTGTGATAAGGCAAGATAAAAATGTCACTGACATCGTATGTGCATTGACTGGCATTCTGAAAAATCAATAATTATATTTTTTATTTTGATGGCGTAGAGCAGGTTGATGTGCGTAAGGCGGTATTAAATCAATACATTATGCAAAAGATTCTTTTAGAACTTTGTCTGTTATCTGTTTCAATCTAATATTCACTTGGCAGTTATCCAGATCTCACAAGAATGCTTTTGTGACCTTTTGTGTACTAGTTAGTTAATTACTGAAATACTTTTTGGATAAGGAATGCTAATTTACCCAAACATTTCTAACCGAGCAAAGCTTTTTAAACAAGTTTGTTTGCTAATAAACAAAAATTGGCTATAAAATGTAAATAAAAATATAATTGAACCAATGCATCGTGTCTAATAAGACTAAATAAAAAGTAACATCATAAATAAATAATAAGTTGAGCTGACCTTATTTTGAATTCAAGGTTGTGCTTTTGGTGTTAAACCATATGCTCAGTTAAGATTACAAAAACAAATTTAGATTTTTAGAACAAACACTTGATTAAATGAATTGCATCCTTTCGTTTTGATCTTCAATAATATTTTGTTATTTCCTTAGGTTGTTGGATAATTTCTAAGAGACCGGCAGTTCAGTTCAATCTCATATGTCAATATCAGGGTTTGAGGAAAACAAACTTTTGTTGACAGATGAACTTGTTTTCCTGAGACAAATAACTACTTTGGTGCACAATTAAATAAGCTTGAGCCAGATATTACAAAGCATATGTATTTATATAATCATATTTGAAATAGTTAAGTATAGCTAACTTAACACAATGTGAAACTGTTTGACTTCTTGGAAATTTACCATGTATAAAACTGCACAAGAAAGAGGAAGTAGTTATAGATAAATTTAATTCGATTTCCTAACTAATAGATAATATTTCGATGAAATACAACTTCCTGGAATTTTTATTTAACTGAATTTCCCTAGTATCACACATGAGATGTTGGCATTGCATTTGTAGCATAATTGAATACCCTGGCCTGTAACTTGGCAATTGGTAAATATTGTGCTGTGTTGCAATCCAGTTACTATAAACTAATAATAAACATGTTGAATGAGGCCAGTGATTAAATTCTTTAGGCTATTTCATAACACTGTATATATTTTCTTCATACAACTCACAAATTGAGCAATAGCAATATTAATTATAATTAACTAGTAATATTTAAAATCATCAGCACTTTGAACTCCCAAAAATGCCAAGTGGCATATTTAGTCATAGATAGGTAGATCACAAGAGCAAGGTATCTAACATTCCAAGCATTCTGCAAAAGGTATCACACCCCATACTTTGAGAAATACCTTCTCTTCTCAGAAACTTCACTTAAACAATTATAAATAATTAACAAGGAAGTGATTAAACATAAACAAAAGAGTTCTAATAACCATACATCCTTTGCTTTTCCATTTTGCTCAGTTATTGAGATGTTTCACAGAAAAGTGGAAAAAACAAGTTTTCAATGTTATTAACAAGGTCATTAGCAAAGGCTGTCAACAACATTCATCCTCATAATCTCTTGGAATTAAGATCTTATCCATTGAAAGCCTATAATATATATCATCAGTTAATATGATCTATCACTTTCAAATTAGAAAACTGTTTTTTTATTGGCTGAATCCAAACACCTGACTGTTCAATAAAGCAATTTATCATATGTTGGTATTATGATTTACTGAACCCGATATTTAATGTTTTTATGTTTTCTTATTCTTGCAGGTTGATAGTGCTGAGAAACTGTCAAAAATACTGGGTAAAACCAAAAATGATAACGAACGTCCAACTCGTACTGAAGATTTCAACTGTGTCCTTGTTGAGGTGAGTTTAAAACAGTTAATATAAATGATCAAGTGTGAATGTATAAAATTAAAAAATAGCAAAGCATTTTGTTGTGTTTTTAGTCTGGTGACAGATGGATTGTTTAATTTATTTATATAAATATACATATTGTTGTAGTGTTATTGTTAAGTTGCAAACATGTGTATCAGTGGCATTGTTTTTCTAAGTAGACCGGGTAAACGCATGAAGTGTGTAAACATACCTTTAGAGAAACCTGATTTACCATTGGTTAAAATCAACCTTGAATAACAACAATAATTACTTTGAACTTTGGCATCGCACTAAAAATATTTGAAGTAAGCACTACTGTAATAGGAACTTTGGTACACAATTGGGTGTTTTAACAAACAAATAAACAGTTATATTCTAAAAGGAGTAAACAGTTCAGCGTTATTCAACTCTGGCATTGATATGATTGCCGAATTTCCAACGATGGGATCACATGATGGTGACCTGGCAGTAAGCCAGGGATTCCAACGAGGTGCTTACTACGATGTAAAAAATGACCAAGGGTTGTATGACCTGGGAATACTTTGCCCTTAGAACTAAGGCATTCCATATCAGAAACTCATTACATGAATATAATTTATTTTCAAGTATTCCTTGATATCTTGGTATGGAATATTTGCGATAACATTTGGGGTCATTTTCCTAGTCATGACTAGGTCATACTCCTAATCAATAGATACACAGGTCATTGACCTATGAAAAGTGTGATAATGACAACTGGTTAAATTCATATAGAGCTGAGGTCCTTGATGTACCTCAAGATAGTTGCCAATCTAGTGATTTTCTCAAATAAGAGGAATATGTAACTAACTGCTTTCTAAATTTTGTGCATACTAGCGAAATAAAAAGATGTAATGAAGGTGAACGATCTAGAAGATTCAATGTTCTTGCATCATAAATATCACCATATTCTCACTGTAAATATCTGCTAACTTACTTAATCCTATTGGAAGCTGTGATGCAAATTACAAACTCAGTACGGTGTTAGAAAGCATCCTTGATACTAAGAGACTGCTCAGTAAGGCTTCGCCCGGGTATTGCCTTTTGTTCATTCTAGCCTTTACATATTCATGTACTATTAATGTGAGGTTACTAAACCCTGTGGATATTGACTCTCAGCGGGGCACAATGCCACAATTCCTCCGTCTAATCAACACAATAATTTTATTGAAAGTCTTTAGAAATCAACAAAACAACAAGAAATTGGTGCATAGAGTGCATTAAAAATACTGTTTGGTTTGGTAATCAGTGTTTGGTATATATTTATTTAACCGGTTTGTATTAATATAGTTTAGTAAGCCAGCTAGCTTAAATGCCACTGATCACATTTTTCAGCACACATTTTCACCTTAGGCAACCTTATCCAAGGGCATAGACTAAGAATGTCAGTATGTGTTATAACGTCTAATAAGCTTAGAAAAAATGCAATAAATGATTCGTTTATATTTTCAGTATCCAACAAGTGAAACTAGTGAGTTTGAAGAAGATATGGCAGAATATTACAAGAAAACATGTCACATGAACCCCTCCCCAATCATCGCCCTCCCCTGAACAACTGGTGGCTCTAGCTCATAGCAAGCTATTGGTAAGTTCAGTTTAATAATCAAAATATAATTCCAATATGTCTCCTTCATGGTGGCATTGCATTGTCAACAAGGAAATTGCCTAGTTTTTTATTTATTTTAGTTAAGAGGAAATTATTTGATTTCTTTGTCCCTTTTGGTTTACTAAAGGAAAGATTTGTGCAAACATTTCTGATTGATACTTGGGTACTAGCCACAGCACGCTACACAGCAGGAAATACTTATCACATAAAAACCACAAAAATTCAATCCATGTAAATGTACCATATGTCTGTCTATATCAAACAAAGAACTATTTATCTGACCTTTGCACAAAGAAAATCCTAAGTTGATCATTGATAATTGATTGTATTAGTCACATTGTTGACCACGCCACATATCATAGGAATGACCTAGAAAATAATGTATTAATTTAATACAAGTGCCGTTCAGTGCTATATAGACAAAGAAAGTGTAATTAGTGACTCTCATCACTAGGCTCTCCATGTGATTTTAGAATTTCACCTTCAAGAGATCTGGTGTCTTTGGTGTTAAATAAACAGAGAATCAAATTTCAGCAAGTCAAAACATGAGTTTAAATTATAGAAACAATTGTATGTTCAGTTCTTGGCCCACCTTCCTGTTTGTGGAAATTCCATGTTAGCAACTTAATCTCATTTTGGTAAAACGTACCATATAATATCAAATATTAGTGAAGGCATTATTCCACAATGAGTCAGAAATGTTTGACATTCCTTTAAGTGGGCGCAACATTCTAACTGGTTGTGGCCAGATATCTTAAAGTATAGAAATAGTTTGCACATGATTTTGATTTGGTTGCCACCTATTGATCAATCACTGAACTATTCCAAGAGATTTATTTAATAATTCTTTAAAAACAGGTTTCATAATTTGTTTCATATTTTTTTTTTATGACATTATTATTAAACACATCTTGATTATTAATTCCATTGAAAAAGTTATTAAATATTTGTTTTTCTTGTATTTCCAGAAACCCGTTGTTGTAGACCAAGGTCCAACTGTTAAGAGATGTGCCAGATTCAATATGATCTCACCATAGCATCAAAGCGGGAGGGAGATGAGGCCATCGCTACCGGCAATATGACCTAAGATATCTGTGTCACCATAGAAACTGTATTACAGTCACCATAGCGATATGAGTTCCTTGGGACCAGATGATGTACAATATATTCATGAACAATATGCGTACATGTTGAAGAATACTCTGTCAGTTCAGGACACTGAATAATGAAGCTCAATGTATCACCAACTATCACTTAGTGGTTTATCAATCATAAACCAGCGAATGCGACAAAAACTAAGTCCAAAGTTTGAAAGAACAAAGTACATGGGGGTAGAGTTCACTGACATAATAACATTTAAAACTGGTTATCACCAGTTGATGTAAAAGTGCAATGTTCCAGCAATATTAATATAATATCATTATAGGGAATGCTTGCAAGAGACATTGTGCAAATAATCTCATATATGTGAAGAATGTAACACATTGTGTTCAACACATTGTGTTCAAACGAGATGAGTTTCTCATTGTATTTATTTATTTATAAACTACATTTATGTACTTTATTGTATTTATTAACTTAATAATTTATTTGTGTTAACCTTATTTCAATGATATCACAGCATTACATTGATTTTAGTATCTTTAAGAGTATTATGTTAAGGTATGTAAAATTCATCGACTTAATCTGTGTGAAATTCAAACTGAGCTAAATTTTTTATGTCTCCATATTATTTGTTAAAATTGTTGACTGCATTATGATTCTAGTTTATGAAAATTCTAAATTGAGACTAGATGAACTAATAATGCGAAGTGTAGTTATTTATGTGACGTCATTGAATTGTAATATTCTTTCTATATTGTAACACACGTCATTCATTGTAATTATCTCAGAATCAAATAATTTTATATAACTGAAATAAACAGCAGGTCTGACGTTATATGTGTTATTGGATAAAGAAAATATTCTATTGAATTGAATTCTGTAGAGAATTAAAAAAATTGAAAAATGAAATATAAAAATATGAAACCGAAATTATTTGTATGTTTTGTTGACTTTTTGATGAAGCAAAGTGCAAAGGTACAAATGAATGAACAGTTTTTCTTGTATCATTACATTTAAATTAATTCTGAGAACATTTCGAACCATGCATCAGACCTTAACTATGCTACTGCTTATAAGGGTTGTCATAGACAACCATTACACAGAATTAACAACATTGATGTTTTTTAAACAGTTGAATCATTTGCTAGATCATTTTTACTCCCAGTCACATTAAATGCTGAACCTGTATCTCTCTCATTTTGGACTACAGTAATCAATCCATAGTTTTTCAAGATCAAGACCTCAATGGAACATTACTGTAATTTTACTACTCCCAGTCAAGTGTTGGAATCCTACCACATAACCCTTATACCGATCCAACAATGCAATGTATAAATTTTGTTGAAATCATTCTTATTCAACTGGTTACATTAGACTTTGTGTTTAATCTTGAGCTCCAAACAAGTTGAAGTTGCAATCATTTATTTTGATTAGTCCACTCAAATATGCAAGGTTGGAGATGAGCCTTTAAATAGGTGGGATTGGAGACCAGCCTTTAAGATAACACTGACATTGAGATGCCCTGTCCGATAAACAAATTAAGTGAACAAATATTTTCATATTATTGTTTCACTGGACACTTTTTATCTTAGAACCCAAACAAGGTAGTTGCCTAGTTAAAAGATGAGTCATTATAATCCAGATTAATTTGTTTTTTTACAAAATCCTATCAAAATAAAAATGGAAGGACACTTTATGAATAATAAACGCAAGGAGCTCATATGTCCCAAACTCACAACCTCATGGTTATGGCAACAGTGCCTAGCTGAGCATGTTCAGTACTCTAGACCGCTCGACCAATAGTATAGTTTCTAAATAGCTAAATAAAGCTGACATAATAGATGTCACCTTTGTTCATCTTGGGCCAACCTTCCATTGAGTTCTATGCTAAAAGCTTGGCAATAGTCACTTATTTTCATGATTTATCAAAGAGTGTTAGTTAAATCTGTCTGAAACGAATGGCATACTATTAAATGACCCTGTCAATGAACATATTGTGATTAAACATGAAAATGTTGGTTGTCATACGATTAAACCATGGTTTTAAAGAATTTTAGCATGACAATGGAGATTTGGCCCAAGTCTTTTTTAAATGTCATGGAGATATAAATGACATAAATGTGTAAATCAAAGCTATTATTGTAGGAAACATATCACCGTCTGAATTCAAATATGCTATTAAAAAGAAAGAAAAGTAAGTCATTAGAGATAAAATGTGCAAATCTCTTAAAATCTCATGAAAAAACGAGAATTAGCGAGATTTCAAAATCATTTAGAAACTCCTCTATTTGACAACACCAAAAAGGTTGTTTCATCAGCCAATCTGACTAGATAGAACACACCAGAGGTAATATTCATTCGCACATTCACACAAACAATGAACTCGACTGTCCTTAAGATAGTTATGAAACATTGAAATCCCATTTCATAACATGAGACACATGCCTACCTGTATGTGACACAAACAATCTTAGGTACTTCAATAGGGGGATTAATCAGTTCATTGGTTAATCAGTTTGTTTTGTGTAATGATTATATTTTTTGATTATGGTGTCAGGTGGCCATATCAGAGCAAGTAGAAGTACAGTATTTATCTTCTCTTAACAAACCTATTTAATAGTTGATAAAAATTGAAATATCTTATCAAATATATATATGTAAGTTATTGCTGATTTAAATTGCAAGAATGTCGAAATACAATACATTATATATGAGAATTGAAAATTTCAAAACATGAGCATAATCATGAAACACTCAACTTTTGAAAATTGTGACTATTTTTCTCATCCGTTTCCTTTTTTCATTGTCGGTTCCAGTGCTCAATCACTACGTTCTATCTGAGGAGAGGTCCGAAGCTTGATGAAGCAAGATGTCCTTTATTCGGGATCACCTCATTATACCGACGCGCATTGTGCCGAAACCCAACGATAGGCCTACCGATGCGCGGAGCACTACCGAAATCCGTGCCAGTGGGACGGCACATTGCCGTGGACTATATATTTACAGCGGGAATTTCAAGTTTTTGTCAGTGTAGACAAAAAGTTGCGGTCCTCATACTCGCGCGTTTTTCAACATTTTAATAAAGTATGTAAATAAATGAATTAAAACGTCAGGTTGAGAAGCAAAAGTCTTTTCTGGGTCACTGCGAATGGCATGATTTCCTCGAGTCTCTTCAGTTGCAAGGCAACCATACTGGGACCGATTCGCGTCGTTCCACTACTGCCCTTGGTGGGGGCCCGCTATCATACTATATGACTCCCGGAGTTTACTAAAGCACGTTAGTGGAGGAACCAACCACAGTCTCACAATCTGTCTCCGGCAAGAGCGGCCAGAGAACCAACCCATGCCAAGGGCCGGTAAACGGTTGGACCTTCGGACCGGGTGTCCGTAGTGACAATGATCAACAACTCCGTACCTGGGGCTCGAACGCGGGACCTCCGTATCCCACGACGTTCAACCGCAAAGTAGCCTCAGTCTACGCCACTAGGCTACCCTGCTTAGGTGTCAAAACTGCTAAAAAATAATGTAGTTGTTACAATTATTTGCTTGGATTAACATGAAATGACATTTCTTAATTGATTAATCTGATTTAGTTGGAATCGAAATTCGACCAGCGATCAAGGCAATGCAATCAACAATTCTTGCAAATGTGAACGGGAGTCGTACAGACAGAAAGTACAAGAATCGTGATCAATGTAAGGTATAATATTTAAGGGACATCTTTGAATATCGGGTAGGGGAAACATTCAAAAATGAAGAAGAATCATTTAGAACATTTGATTTGTTGCCAATATATCAATTGCGTCTCAAATGAATGAAATAAAAGGTATCGCGGGCCACTAAAGCCGATGAGTGAAAACAATTATAATTGACGCATCTAGATCTAAGTGAATAGGTTTGTGTAGATACGTCGAGGAAAATAAGCTATTTCGACGCTTGAAATAACCTGATTACGCTTATTAATAACTACGCGTGGCTATTAAACACAAGTTTTGTGTAGAACAAAAACAAAACAACTGAACGAACTGTACTTTAGTTTCAAAGTGTTCAAGATATTTCCACATGTTCAAAAACACAAAATTTATATTTTTGGGTATTTTGTCAGATATCTCCAATTCATATTTACTCCTGTTGCTGGGGGTGTTCTACTGAAAATGTAAAAGTCATGGAATTTGACTTTCTCAACCTTTAGCACATACCCCAGTGTCTAAGAACATATGAGGTCCTTGTCTGAAAAGTGGTCAGCGAATTTTTAATTAACTATTATAGTGACGCCCTCTTTCCAATTTCAGACATAGGGTAGCTTCAAAAAATATTTCTTAATGGTTTGTTCATGTAGCTTATGGTAGGCCTAGTGACGAATTAATAATATTGTATATACATGTCGGTTATATCTTCCACATTTTAAATAATTTATTACATGCAAGTCAAAATAAAAGGGAATACATTTTCCAAAAATTTAGTGTTAAAAAGGGGAGGGGGTTTGCCTAAACCAACTAATTGAGGATTGATAAATCGGATTAATATTTGGGATGTCTTGGCAATTCTAAGTTTTAATGTCTCCTAAAACAGAGACAGAGACATAAATAAATAATATTTTTGATATTTCTTTACCTCCAGACTAGTCAATTGTTCCTGTCTGTTTTCTGCAAAGTTGAATTCTACCAAATCAAAAAAAAACAAGAAAGAATGTGCAGCAGGTCTAGACTATAACAAGTGATTATTGATATCAAATTGAGTATGTTAAAGTGCAGGTTTAAAGCACGATAGTCCTGAACTTTTGCACTCTGAAATTTTATATACTTATACAAATTATATCTGGCCTCCGCATTACATATTTTCCTTACCAGATGTTTGACTGAGACATAGGGGTAAGATGAAAGATAAATTGTATTTTAGGTTAAACATAAGGTGTGGCAGAATAATGGCCCACTATTATAAGCCCACTACCAAGATATTATATTTATTCAATGACAATTAACGGGCAATTAACCATCATTAAAGTTAGTGTTAAGCTCATAGGGGTTTATGACAGCAGACAGTTCAAAATCTAAAGCAAATATATGTGTTGTACAATGTGAGTGAAATTAATTGGGGTTTTAATGGTATCATCTTAATAAATACATTTGTATATAGTTTATATCTGTTTTGGATTTTTACTGAAAGTACCCTTCTTTTTTAATTGAAGACTGATAACATGTATATTATTGCCATATTATTCACACTATGGGCTTTCAACTAAAGCCCACGTTCACACATAGGATATTCCATTAATTACCTATTATATCGTCCTCACTTTGTTTCATCAAAATTTAGTACAAATTTACTTTGTAAAAAGCATAATATAAAAAGGAGTATGTGTCACTGTATCATAAAAGTACGGTTGCAGTTCCAGTAAGAGAGCATCATCCTGTTAAGCATTTGTTTTTCATTAGTTGACATCCTCTAAATTAATTAAATAAAGACGAGGCCAGGGACATATAGTACCTTTGGATCTAAAACACTGAACTTGTTCACTTATCCAATAAGTAGTTTCTCACTTATCCAGGCCGACCTCTTTATCTCTAAACCAAACGCCACAAC